ACATTCTATCCATGTCAAGGAAGAGCCAGTGATTGCAGAGGATGAAGACTGTCCAATGTCCTTGGTGACAACGGCAAATCACAGTCCAGAGCTGGAAGATGATCGAGAGATTGAGGAAGAGCCTTTATCTGAAGATCTGGAATGAAAAGGGACTTGAGAAACCTCAAAATGAAGGGACATATCACTGACCTTCAGAACCACTCCGCAACCATGAATATTTGACAAATTTTTACTGTGACTATTTATTAAGCATGGATAAAGAAGAACAGCCCTAAAGGAACTTGTTAAGCCAGCCCTTTGGGACCCAGTAACAACAGGCAAATTGCTTGTTTTTCTTCTTTTTCTTCTTTTTTTCCTTTTTCCTTTTTTTTAAAAGATAAACTGATTTTCTTGAGGAAAAAAAAAAACAAAACTGTTCTTTATATAATGGCTTGCCCATTTAAAAAAAATGTGGCTCTTAAGGGTTCATGAAATGACTGAATATGAGGATACATGTTCTGTAGAAAGCAAATGGGCCTCATATACTGCCAAAAATAGTATTAGTTTCATTAATGTGAATTTCCAGCATACAGTAGTTGTAATGTTAGAAACAATTGCTGGTCAAGTTCAACTTGTTGCTATTGTTTTTAATTTGCACAGGAGTAGTATCAGAAGTTAGTGTCACTGCTTGTATCTAGCTGAATTTTAAACAACAGAACATTAGTTTTTTATGTTGGTGCCACCAACTGTAAATGACATAAGTTAGTTATTACAAACCACAGTAATTAGACTGTTGCAACCATCTAAAAACCTTTAGGCTTCCAGTCTGTGCTGTTAGTGTTAAGATGTAAAGTGCAATCCTAAGCTAACATTGTCTGTGCAAGCACCATAGAAACATTTGCATATCTGCATATATCTTACAACTGTACTCTTTACCTCCTTGTGATAAAGCTTTGTCTACCTGCAAACACAGTCAAAGGCTACAGCTGCAAACCAAAGCCAACTCTAACAATGGCCAATAGCTCAACGACAGAAGCAGCCACATGCTTTGGTCAGCCTTCTGTAACTTTAATTAGTACAAAGGAACCTTTCCATGAACTACCTGCTGTTTTCTGATGACCTCTGGGATCTTTTCATTTAGCCCTATACAAAGAAACAAATATGAAAAAGTCAATTCATTCACAGTGTAATCTTCTGAGGCCAAAAGTCAATCTAAATGCAGTGAAGATTTGCTTTCATTTAAGACAGAGGTGAGAACAAAGTCTGCAGTGGAAGTTATGATAGAAAGCAACAAATGTGGATCACTGACCAAAATAATTATGTACTTGATGCAAATGCAGATTGCATATTGTTATATATAATACATTATGTTTTATTTTTTTCCCATTCAGTCTGTTTTTTTCTGTGGTGAATACATGTTGTTAGAAGATGTCTTGTATGGTCTTACTCTTTGTTGTGTACTATTTTTTATAGTCTTAAGTTATAATGAAAAGAAAAAAAAAAGTAGGAACCAAACATAAAAGGTCTAGTAAAGCCAAAAATTAATTTCATATTGATTTAAAGTGATCTAGGTGAGTTTTTACACTGAAAGCAAAGATATAGCAATTGTAGTCCATGGTATTTATTTTCAGTCAAACCAAAGTTACATATAATTCTGCCTCTGCTTATACGGGATATTAACACTAACAATACACTCCCTTTGGAAGACTTGCACAGGCCAAATTGTTGGAATGCTGGTTTTCTTGACAACTCCAAACCCAAAAATATGATAATGCGTTATGGTGTAGTTGAAAATAGCATAGTCAGATGTTTGCTTAAAACCTAGAAACTTTACGTGTTGCTTTTCATGTGCTGTGCCAAGTCTTGATAATACTTTTTCCCCCAACCAAGGGACCTCATAACCTGATTATGGTTATTGCTTTACAAACAGTTTTTGACAGAAGGTGGCTGCTAGAGCTTAACATATGTACCAGTTCCATGTGATGGTCCTGGTTCTTGCAAACTAAGCTCATCATTTATTCTTTGCTGAAGTCAGCAAATAGACTTAAAGATATACACAGTCATCTATCACGCCAAATAAAAGGACATAACGGCTTTCGAAAGGGTTTTCCCACTTACCCAAAAGGCTTTCTGAAAGCTTCTACCTCTGCAAAAGAAAAAAAAAGAAAAAAAAAAAAAACAAAAACAAAAGAAATTAGAACAATTATGGCAGATTGCATGAATTGTGAGAACGTCACAGTAACTGCTACTTTTCATTATGTTTGTCTTTGGGTCATGATCAACAGAAGGTTTACGGTAATTACATCAAGAGAAGGATTCACCTTGTAAGAGATTGTTTTCAGTCAATCAGTCGTCTAAGATTCTGATGTGAGGAGTACCTGAAAGGGAATGATGGGTGTTCCGAGTGCATGTTCAAGAGACTTTGATGGACTGGAAGTAAATGTGGTAATTGTACCATCAGGAAGGTGGCCTAAGACTACAATGCTAAAGTATGCATACCTCAGTTACAAAACTTTTGAAAGGAAGTCTCAGCCACAGAATGCATATACCTGTAGAGTTTTGCATGGGTTTTATATAAATACAATTTAAAAAAAAAATAGCTGCTTGCACATTATACCAGAAAAACCTCCAAAACTGCAATTGCTTTGAAAATAGATTTTAGGTTTTTTGGAGTTTTCTGAGATGCTTGGTCTGTATTTTGATAATTGTGCATATTATGTAAAAATGTTGGTGGACCCATAAATGACCAGACTTTTTCTAAGAAAAATGTTGCTTTAATGCATTTCATGAATTTTTACTCTTATATCATTGCTTGCTAGTAATAGCAAATCTGCTTTTCTGCATCTGCTTTGCGTAGCTATTGTAAGGCTTTGAACTAATGTATGTATTTATTGCTTGAACTTCTGTGCATACCTTATAAAGCATAATGTCTGACAATTTAAATGGCTCATGTATTCTTGCTTCTATCATAAGCTGAGGACGGGGGATTATGATCTTTTGTATACAGCAAATTTTAACTGTAGCACAAACATCTGTTTATGTATTGGTGGGATATACCTGTTTTATTTATCTTTTTTGAGGTAAACTAATTTTTGATACTTTTCATTACTATGTACTGTGTTCATACCTTGAATTCTCTGACGTTAGAAGTCATGGTTGAGAATTGTAACAGCTGTTATTCGTTCTGTATTCATGGCTTTCACTGCTGAATAAAATAAAGGACCAAACCTAGGATTTGAAAGAAAACTGTCTACCTCTAACACCAGGGAGTTATCAGATTTTATTTTACATAGTTTTAGTCTACAAAGTCACAATTGCTTAAACCTAGTGAGCTTAAGGCTTATATTCTGTGTGGTTGAATTCATGGCACAGTTGTACTGTTTGAAAATCAATTAAAGTTTCATGTGAATGTTACAAGTATTTGGTAGATTTACCACTAACTGGGTTTTCTTTAGATAAAGCAGATATGGGGAAACTGTCATCAGCATTCTGTGTCTACAGCTGATTAACTTCATAAGAATGCATTTCTTTGTGATTAGAGAATCCAAGCACAGTCAGCTAGGATCAGAGCTACTGAACTGCACTTAGCATAAACCAGCCTGGACTCAAGTGTGCTAGGTCTCCCCATAGTCTGATTTACAACTGTCCTTAAAATGGGCACTTTTTTTGGTCTTTTTTATTTTTTTACTATTGTTACTGTTTTGCCTGCACGCTTTATTATTAATGTGCATTCTGGAAGGGTAGCTTTATTATTGCTCTAAAGCAATTAACCAGTAGCCCATTTTGCCCTTGTTTCAAGAGTTCAAATCACTATGGAGGGTTTTTTCCATTAAAATTGGCATATTTAGGAAAACAGGATGTACATTTTACTATAGAGTTGATGTATGAACAGTGTTTTCACTGCTGTTGGATGTAAAAATGTATATGAAACCATTTCATTCACTTGCTTACATTTCTGGAGTATAAATAAAAAATATAATTCTTTTTGATCCATTTATAACCCACAGGGTTTTATTCTTTCTGGGAGGAACCTTCTTCCACTTTGAAGAGCTCAGTTAAAAGCAGTCTTTTCTGTAGCTTGCTGTAGCTCTCTGATACAGGGCTGGGGATAGGTGAAGCACACCTAGGTCTACCCAAAAAAAAGTACAGAAACCCAAACCATCAATGACAACAGCATGTTTCATCATGTGTATTATTTGCAAGTTCAGTATACTACTAAGCACATAAACCCTTTGTGCAGTCACCTTTGCCTTAGTGGGGTTTTGCATGTCAAGAGAATTTCTTAATGAAAGTTTTGAAAGTGGATTTTAATGGCAAACTTTGTTCTGAAGGAAATTAATCCCTTCTAAGTCTTTTTGTTGCTGTTGCTTATACTGGGTTTTTTTTTTCTGATGATTGGTTTTGGAAGGCAGTAGTTGGAAATCACCTGTATCTTGTGACTTACCCACTCAAAAATTCTGCATGTATTCACTTGCATGTGTGATCACTATTCATTGTCTTGTTAAAAATGTTGGATACCACAGTCCAGCAGCACAGTCCAGACTTTTACCTTCTGGCTCTGGCTTGTCTAAAGAACTTTTTTTAAATTTAATGAAAGCGGTGGTGGTGGGTTTCTTTCATTATCATGAATAACATTAGAATGAGGTCTTAAGATACTTCTGTGTGAAGAGCTTAGTAGTGAATCATAGAACAGTTTGGGTTGGAAGGGGACTTTAAAGGGCATGTAGTTCCAATGCCCCTGCTGTGGACAGGGGCTTCTTCCACTAGATCACATTGCTCAGAATAATTTAATATCTCATATCTAAGTTCTCAGAACAGCACTTGTGTATTGACTTAAAAGGAATAAGTGCAAAACTTTCCCCAAAATATTTATTTAAAATCCCAAACAAACAAATAAATTATACATATCTCAATATAATTATAGCAGTTGTAAATGTATGCTAGAAAAAATTTACCTTCAGTGTTTCCACAGAGCAGAAAAATGAAGACATATCCTAACTATGATGCTGATTATTAAGAAGCTGAATAATACTGTTCATGGAGCAAATGCAGACAATGTCAAAGCATATGGAAGATTTTTGATCCTAATGGATGTATCCAATTGTGGGTTCATGCATTCATTTAAAATACTTTTTTTTTTCTTATTTATAAAGTATATATGTATGTATGTATGTGAGTGTGTATTTCAGAGACTGAATGTTACATACAAACCTGCATTTTGCAAACAGCCACTAACAAGCGTGTGGGAAGGAAGTGAAATTTGGGCCACTCTCTGTCTGACCAGTCTGGTGAGAATCACTGTGTAATATGCAGTCAGAGGATACATCATTACAGACCTGTTTCTCAGATCTTGCCACTCTTCAGTTCTGAGAAAAAGCTGTTTTCTCTCACTGGAGGGGAGTAAAATTTTCTTTGACAGTTGTTTCATATTGTCCTAAAAATTTATATAATGGAAGATGGTAATATTACTGCATTCTGGGCCTGCCCTAGTGGCAAACTGACAGAAGAGCCTGGGCTTGAGATTTATTACAGATTTATAATGTTTATGGGTCAGAAGAGTCAGGGGGAATCAATGGAAAATTGGTCACATATCCCCTTAGAAGAATGAATGATACTCAAGGGACTTATTTGAGCTCCTAAATCCCTTCACAGTTAAAGAAAAGGACCCTAAAATCAACAGCTACCCTCCTTCAAACTTTAATTTTACTTATAATTGGTGTGCATAAATAACAAGACTATGGTGACCTTAGATGAATGTCAGGCTGTTTCAGTCATTTGCCTTCTATACAACCATGTGTATGAAGAATCTTATCTAGGTGCCCCCTAGCAGACTATCAAAATTAATTTACAATTATTTCTTAAAAGATGCATTTTAACTTTAGTTACATATCTGAGACATGGACTATAAAATTGTAAATGTTCAATAAAATGTGTAAATGTTAAATCTTTGAGAATCAAGAGAAGCAAAAACTTATGCATTGAAATTGAAGAATACAAACAAACAAAAATTGAGACAGAATGGGCTGTATATGTTAGTCAGATGCTGCCAAAAGCCTTTCCAGTATTTCTTCTAACCAAAGTAAAGACTGGGCCAAGAAACAACAAGCCAGACAATACTAATAGTTCCTAATAGTTCCTAATATAAATTAAAATATTATATTGCAAGTTTTACCGTTTCTATTTGAAGCTATTGAAGACTGAATGAATCAGAAGTAAAAAATTAGAGCAAGAAATTCATATTGAGTGGAAAAGTTGGGGAGAGGAAAAGCTGCTAGTCTGAAAAAAAATGCTTAAACTTTTAAGAATTATAATAAGTTTTTTTTTTTCATTGTGTAGTCAGGCAGTAATGAATGGGGATGCATTTATTGTTACAGTCCAATTTAACGCTCTATGCCTGAAACATCAGTAAAATCTGTGGAAAGTATTCATACAGATCAAAAGCACACAGTGGCTATAAATTATTTCAGTGAATACTCTTCATTTAGGTAAAATTTTTGAAGGTGACTGAAGGCAAAAAACCTTGAGTATGTAGGCAAATAAACTAATATGTCAACTAATGTATCAAAGGGAAGTTTGTCTCTCATGGCATAGACATAGTCTGGGGCTAAATGATAGAAAGTACCTTAGATCAGAATGAGGAAATCAAATGGTAATAATATTTCTGTGAGAAAATAAGGACAAAATACCACTAAAGGTTAAGAACATTTTTAAGTTGCTGTATCAAAGTCTAATATTCTCATTAGATTCTCTCCACCTGTGTCATATCAAAGCTTAAGCACAAATAAAAGCTAAAGGTAAGTTTTTATTTTATTTTTTTGTGTTAGGAGTTGTGTCATGACCAGTTTTTCAGCAGGTTCTCATGGCTTCCAAACTGTCTGAGGTCTAGAACACCTGCTACAGGCAGCTGAAGATGGGTGCTATTTACCAACATCAGTGTATTTTTCACATTCCTACAGCAAACGTCTGACAAAAAAAATAAAATTGGGCTATAATGTTTTATATGCTTTTTTATATTTAACAGAAATCAACTCATATTTTCCACATAAACATTGTCATGTTGTCTCATTTTTCCCTAGTCCCTATCAAACTGAGTTTATATCTTAATACAGTGAGCATTAATAACTGTATCTATATATATGTGTATATAAATATATAAGTAGCTTCACAATAACTTATTTTGTCTGAGTCAAAACAAGATCAAGCAACACTGCCTAGCTTTATGGTTCATTTTGTATTTCAGTAGCATCTTTCCTGTCTTTAAAGAAATCTCTTCCTCTGAAAGGAAAAATAGATTAATATTTTCGAGGTCTTTCTGTTGCTTCCTTTGTCATATTTCTCCAATGAACAGTTAGATCCAGTACAGTGTAGTGGGACAAACTGTACTTCATGAAACAGCCAGATCTATGGACTTTATTTCAGGATTGTTATTTTTTTATTATACAAGGTTATAGGCCAGGCACTGAAATTAAATATTTGTGTCATAAATACCTTTTTGTCCCACTTTTATTTTCTGATGTCAGGAATAACTCAAGTATTTTATTGCCGTATCACCATTATACCCGAGTCCACAACTCGCAACCTCTGGGTAAACTTCATATCCAGCAGAACCATGTGGTAATTAATAAAATTCAATAGATGTTGAAGTCCATCTATGGGTATTTATGACCTCTAATTGCAGGACTTCCCTTTGGACAAGCTGGAGTACTGGAGGCATGGTAGAGGTACTCCAGCTACCTGTTGCACTTTCCATTTAGCTTCAGGACATCATTCCTCTGCAGGTTTGCTTCTGGTGGGAAACACCTTCATTTTATTTCTGCCATCTTGTTTATTTAAATAGTTTCTTAGATGGGAAAAAGGCCAGTATATTTT